GCACCCACGGAATACTGAGTTTAATTTATGTGTTCAATACTCCGTATTAGTTACTAGTCCGTATTATTTAATACTACGTACGATAGTATATTTTTATCCTACGTCATCATGTCACATGCTGACGTGGTACAAATAAATGTGGCAGTCCAGTCATGCTCGTGGAAGTCCTGACAGTCATTTCGTGATGACATGTCGCACACGTGGACCGCCGCCACATGTGCGCCACGTCGGGTTTTATTTGACTGGTTATTATATATCCTTTTATATAACTAAATTCAGAGGATTAATTATACGTGGTATGAAGTTTGTGATTCAGATGGAGGATTACCATCGTTGCCCACAGGGCAGATCGGACACAGGCACAGCTCCATCACCCCTTGGCTGGCTTCGCGAGAACCGCTCCATCTTCTGCTTGCCGGGTGTGGGAATAATAGGATCAGGATAACCTTAAAAAGAAAGAAAAATACGTAGTATTAAAGAAATTAAACTGCACGTATCTATACTAATATAAAAAGGGAAACCAAGACAACAACTATATTCCTTTCTCAAAGTTGCAACCGTGTATTTTTTTCGAGGAAAAATTTACAACGGTTCAATAACAGGTACTTCATGATTTCTAGGTTTGGCAACTGTTCGGCATAATTTGACCATCACATGGTTCCCAAATGTGTCATTTAACTGCTTTTACTGCTTTGAAAGTTGTCCATGAGGCGGTGGAATGTATATTTTGAGATAGATGACATCATTATAAATTTACAGGTACGTACTTATTTTGAAAGTTGTCCACGAGTCTTCATATTTCATGCGTGGTAGTAGGGGCCGGGGTTGATGATACATCTGATGCATCCATAATGTGTGGAGAACATTCACAACCATTGTTTGAACATTTTAGATTTATAACGAATACCAAATTGAACTCAACCAGTTTAGTTTGCTTTTAAAAACATTGGAACAACATGCTAAAGTCGAAGTCCTATTTGTAAAATTGATATTGAAATCCAATCAATTTTATAATGCTAAAGTCGAAGTCCTTTTCTAGGCAAGATTAAAAGTCGAAGTTCACTTTTATAAGATTAAAATACACATAGTTTTTAGATTATTAAAAACTATTATCCATTCTTATAACTTCATAAGATTAAAATACTCATATACAAAATTATTTTACACAAGGTAAAGTAAAACCTTTTAATAAATACTCCTATTTGAAAGTTCTCTACAATAGATTTGAACACATCATTTAAGGGTGAAATAGTAGGGATAATAAATAGTGTAAAAAAAGTAGAAGAGATGGTGGAAAAGTATGAAAGAGAAGCTAACAAGTAAAAAAGTAAGAATAATTGAATATTTTGTTAGAAATTACTACCTCCGTCCCATTTATATTGTCCCAGAAGAGGGTGACACGGTTATTAAGAAAAGTGGGTTTGTGTGGTTGATATTAATTGATAAAGTAAGAATAAAGTAAGAATGATTTAGAACCACACAAACTTTGCCAAATATGGTATGGGACAATTTAAGTGGGACTTCCCGAAAAGGTAAAACGGGACAATATAAATCGGACGGAGGGAATACTTATCAAAAAGAGAATGTGTAACAAATTTTTAAGTACATCCAGAAAAAGAAAGTATAACAAACATTAAAATATGAGGAAAATATTGATTAAGATATTTAGATATCACAAAATTAAACTATTGACTTGGTGTAAAAAAATATTAAAATGTTGACTGAAATATAATATTGTCCCGTGCATCGCACGGGTACAATACTAGTTTAGTAAAAAAAAAAAGGATGACGCCCCATCCCTGAGGCCCCCCAACACCGAATGGACAGCACGATGTGAGGATGTATGTTGGACTATAATCACAACCTGACAGATAAAGAGTAGGGCTCCGTCCCCGGTACTTGCAGAGGCCCTATGCATTTTTCAGCATAGTAACCCCTTATCGCAGTTGCCGGGATTCGAACCCGAGACCTAACCCTTGTGGCACTCCCTCACTACCAGTTGAGCTACGCCCTTACACGTATTTAGTCTATATTAAATAGAGTGAATTGACAAAATAGGAGTAAAAGATGAGGTAAATGCAAAAACGGGACTTATTGTTTTAAATTTCTATAATAGGACTAAATATTTGTGTCTTGACAAAAATAGCCTTAATGAATTGCCGTAACATCATTAGCGCATCGCAACCATCATCCAAGTCGATCTGTGCTAAAATAATCAAATCTGCTGTAACTTCATCGGTACATCGTAACCATCCTCCAGCAAGTCTGTTGCACACATCTGCCACCCTAAGCTGAGTTCATTGCTGCGGTGCTGCCATTCTCGGATGAAGCTGCCACCATCCTCTCGTGAAGCTGCATCCCTCCAAGAAGTCATTGTAAGGCTTGAGAGAGAATGTCATCTTCATAAGAGTAATGACACAAAAATAACATTTTGCTATAAAAAAATATGACATTCTCAAGTGTTAGAAAATAAATTATGTAATTTTTTAGATGAAAAATACTGACATCATTTGGAAAACATGTAAAAAAAACTTGTCATTTCTAATAACAAATAGTTATGTTATTCTCAGATAAGCCATAAAAATGCCATAAAATGTCATAAGAATGACATTTTCTTATGGATGTATGACAGTTTCAGAGTGTCATCCTGATAAAAAATACTGCCACAAACATGCCAGTTTTTTCAAATAACCAATAATTTTGACATTCTCCGGTCAGAAAAGTGACATTTCTCAAATCAACATAAAAACCATAATTAAATAATTTGAATGTTTTAAAATAAATTAATCATAATTAATATAAAATTGAAAATCAAATTAAGAGAATAAAAAACAGAGGAGGTGTGAGCACGTCAAGATGAAAAGTGCCCAAAAAGAAAATAAAAGAAGAACAAGAAAGAAGAGAAGAAGAATAAGGAAGAGGAGGAAGAGAAAGAAAAGGGAAGGAGGGTTACCTGACTTCATCGGAGGAATTGCATATGCGAAGTGTGATTCCGTCGGAGGAATTGAATAGCTATCGCCGGAAATTGCATATGCCGTCAACTAGTCAAGTGTGGTTGGGTAGCAGTCCGTCTGTGATGGGGAAGAAGGATATCGCTGCTCCCGAATCGGAAGATGCAATAGCGTAGATCTAAAGTCTGAGGCGTTGATTTTGGGTTTAATGAAGGGGAGGGCAAAAATGTAATGTGGAGTCCTATTTAGAGAATAATAAACTTATACTCCTATTTTTTAGTTTTGCTAATGTTTTAGTCTCATTTAGGACAATATCTTTATTAAAAACTGTATACAAAAACATACGGAGTTTACATTCTCTTTGCGTATCAATCAAATATTCTGTAATTGATTGATCATAAAATCTCATCTCTCACAACAAATAGCTAGTCTATTACAATGTTTTTAATTGGATCGAGATTTTCTAATTTGATATATATATAAGGCTGGTCTAGTCTATCCCTAGTAATTAAACCTCTAATGTATGTATTTTACTAATTATTAAGTCTTATCTCGTTTCATATAATTGGTCATTTTAGTCATGCTTGATCGGGTTTATTTAAATCTAGTTTGTTCTTGGTTCAAAACACTTTGGTTTAAAACAACGAGTATAAGTTTACCTATTGAGAAACTAAATTCAAATAGAATAATAAAAATGGATTTCTAAATTAAAATGAAAAAAGTTTCATATGAAAATGAATGATCTGAATGTAAAATACTCCGTAAAATAAACCGCAAAAAAAAAAAAATCGAGCCCAAAAATATATTGAATTGAATTGGAGTTGTTACCTATATTGATTTTCACCTAAAAACATAACTGAATGAACCAAACTATCTATAGTATGCTATTTTTATTAATAACTAATAATTATCAAATATAATTATTTCAAAGAAAACTTTATGAGTATATATCTATTTTTATTAATAACTATTAATTATTAATTACAATTATTAATTTAAGAAAAAACTATAATTACTAAATATACTTGAGTAGAAAATTAATGTTTGTGATGAAATAAATACTTTGATCGAATTCAATAGTATTGCAACTACATTAACTAGTGGATGCACATGTGAAAAGATGAATTTGTTCATAAAATATTTTATTTGATTGTTAATGTGCATATACTTTTTAAATTGAAGATTGAATACATGATACAAGGTTGTGTTAAAACTACTTACATGTAATTTCAACAAATATATACTCAAATCTTTATAAAATTAATTATAACCATCATATTTTATTTTGTGTTTTACTTATAATGAATCTAATTAATAACGTAACAATTAATATTATTTTATAAATTTACATTATTAATGATAAGTATGATAACTATTATTTTAGGATGTTTTCTTTTGGATTGAAATTTGCTGGTCTGGTCTGGTCTGATCTGATCTGGTCTGATCTGGTCTGGTAAACGTCTGGTCTGATCTGGTCTGATCTGGTAAACGTCTGGTCTCTATGTATTTTATAACTACGGAAGTCAAGTCTGGTCTGGTCTGGTCTGATCTGGTCTGGTCTGGTCTGGGACTGAAAACATTTCAAAAGAAAACATCCTTAGTTCTCTGATGTCATATACTATCCTATAGACTATAGAGTATCAATATAAAGATAAATTGGAATTCTTAATTTAAAATATATTTGGAAAATAAAAAATCACAATTATCCACTTTATTTATTTTTTAAAAATCTTCATATGATTATTATGAAGAGTGGGACGTTATTAGGTTCGCTTAATCGCTACTATAAGTATGCGTGTTTTACGATAATTTTTATTTAGTCTAAAATATATTCTTAACAATTACCCTTCCATTTATACAAAACTGAAGCGAAAATTGTATTTGAATGTATGTATACATTATTTTTTAGTATCTCTCGTTTCCGTAAGATATTTAAATATTATAAAAATCGTATAACCTTCTATGAATAACTTGTTCTTTCTAGTTTTTTAGTGTGTCACACTCAGAGCTGAAAATATTTACTCTAAAATATGTTCCTTTCTTCGTTTGTGTTGTAAGGAATATGAATATAAAGATAAAAATAGGTAGAAATTATGGAATTAATGTTTATAAAAAAACAAAAAATCAGTAGTTACAACAACATTGTTCAATTTCCAAAACTAAAAAGGCAATATTGTTACTTAAGAAAATGTGAAAATATATATTTGTTTTGTTTCTGATTATGTAATAAAGTTATGTAAAAATGTATTCTTGAAAACTATCATATCAAAGTTTGGAACATATAAATTTTCTACCGAAACATACATTGCTAATATCGTCATATTGTTTTGAATATTTTAAGAAATATTGTTATAAGAACTGTTTTTTATTTCCATACAATCAATGCTTTATCAAACTATATTAAGTATCTTTTTACTTGGACTGTAATTTGTCCCAGACCAGATCAGACCAGACCAGATCAGACCAGACTAGACCAGACCAAACCAAACCAGACATGGATAGTTATAAAAATACAAAGAAACCAGACCAGACCAGTTCAGACCAGACCAGACCAGACCAGACTAGCAAATTACAGTCCAAGTAAAAAGATCCTAAATTCTACAAATGATGTCACGCGAGATGCACAGTTGGCATCTGACTGGGCGACGTGAGGGTGACCGGATTTTTCCACGCATAAAATGAAATTTGAACTTTTTTGTCGAGTTCAATAGGTGAATTTGAGCGTTTTAGAGTTCAGGAGACCATTTAACATTTCGGACAGGTATAGGGGGGCCTATTTGATCCTAGACTATATATATAATGATATTTTGAAAACGGAATTTTCAGAAATAGGATTTAAAATAATGTGAAATTCCAAAATTGTTTTTGGCCTTTTTATTCCAATATTACTAAAATAAATGAAAAAGATAAAAAAGTGATTTGTTTTAAATTTTTCTTAAAATGTGACTAAAAGTTATTTACTCCTTATAATTAATCATATATTTATTTTTAAATATTCCTTTATAGCACCTCCAGACCGCCGACCCCAGCACCACCACTTCTGCCACCACCGGCACCGCCACCGCCGCGCCACCAGCACCGCCGCCTCCACCGGCGGCCAAAGTGACTCCGGCCACAGTGATTGACGTCACAGTGACTGTCACCAAAGTGACTCCCGCCTACCGCCATAGTGACTAACGCTCAGTGACTCCGGTTACGGTCAAAGTGACTCCGCAGCTAGTGATTGCCCCACCGTCAGTGACTGCCCCACCGCCCGCCAGTGACTGCCCCACCGCCCGCCAGTGACTACGCCACCTCCTACTGAAGTGAATGCCAGCGACAGCAGCGCCTCCAACCAAAGTGACTGCCCGCCCGCGCACCGGTCACAATGACCCGGCCCAAAGTGACTGCCCATTCACCGGCTAAAGTGCCTGCACCGTCAGAGACCACCGCTGCCAGGTGTCTCTTCCGGTGGGGGACGCCGCCGTCTGCCGGATGCTGTCCAAACTTCATCCAGCCCTGTCATTGCCAAACAATCCCCATACAGCCCCCATCGATGCCCACTAGCCCTCATCGAAGCCCACCACGACCCTTCTGCCCCAGATCTTACCATAGCTACCATCGCCATGGATCTAGATCCGGATCTATCATTGACCACAATCCCGACCGTCAATCTCCAGGACGACGCCAGACAGAAAGAGAAGAAATAGAAGCGGTGTAGGGCGACGGCGATCTGAAGAAGGTCAACGAACATCAACCTTGGGACAGAGAGGCGCAGCAGCGAGACGAGACAGAGAAGCGGCGAGGCGGAGAAACGGCGAGGTAGAGAAGCAACAAGGAGGAGAAACGGCAACCTGTCTGGCGAGGCAAGAAGAGGCAGAGCACGGCCTATGCGGTGAGGCAGTCCGGCGGTTTTGGCGGAGTATGGTGGTGCGAAAATATCAAGTGCGAAGAGAGAAGGAAGCCCGTAGGGGGAATCTGCGAAGAGAGAGGGAAGCCCGTATGGAAGTCGCACAGTTCTTGGACCGTTTCAAAAGGGCTGAATCACTTTTTTTGGAATTTGGGTAATTGGTCATAGTTTTGGAATCTTCAAAGTCATTAGTAATAAGCGGGCAATTATTTCATTGTTTTTTCACCTAATAAATAAGAGCCAAAAACTGTCGTTCTAAATTAGAGTTTTTTCCCGAAATAATGTTAATTAAATAAATAATTCCCAAAATACTGTTGGGTTAAAAATACTTCCCAAAATACTGCTGGGTTAACCGTGGTTAAGAAAAGCCGCCACTTGAAGTGGCGGCTCTTCTCTTACAGTACAAAAGCCGCCACTTCAAGTGGCGGCTCTTCTCTTACAGCACATTTTGTATATATATAAAACGCAGTATGTTTCAAGAATTTTTTTTAACTATCTTCCCGATTGAATTTTGAGCTCAAATTTTGTATGAATAAACTAGACTTGATGAGAAACATGCTCAAAAATATTTCATCAAAAAATTCCACTGGGAAGACCCTCTTATGGTGTTGTCTGCACGGGGGTTCCGGTCAGGACGTCGTGACAGGAATAGGACATTTTTATGAAATTTGAGGTGCTTCCGATTTGATTTTGTTGATGACATTTTGTGATCATGTTCTTTCTAAAGTGTAGGTTATGTTCACCGAATTTCAGATTAAATTTAAATCAAGAAGTTAGTTAAATTATTTATTGAAAAAACATGCATTTTTAGGCCTAAAAAATTGTGCAAATTTTCAAAAAATTTGTTTAACTAACTTCCCAATTGAAAGGAACCAACTTCAAATTCGAGCTATCACCGCCATCATTATGCCCTTAACAAACAATTCTTTCTCTTCCACTTGTTAAATAAATATGACCTCTATTTGGGCAGTTTATGGCCATTGGAAAAAATTTCAACACTCGTATCAACTATTGCTCTAAGTTCCAATTGCAGAATCACAGTTTTGCGCAATTCACTTGAGCTCATGTTTGGAAGGCAACAGTAAATTCAAGTTCTGTAATCTAGTGAAGCATGTGTAATCCTACAACATACAAACTATTGATAGAAATGCTCAAAGTAATGTAAAAATGGAAATGCATATTATATATAACACATGCAGCTAAAACATGATGACTTATGGGAAAATTATCAACAAATATGAAACAATAAGAAATTATAAAATATTGCTTCTGGGAAATAACATACCAAACGATATAGTTGCATAATTTCTAAAATTTTCTTGGCAAAAATTTTGTCTCATGCCTTCTGAAAATGTTCATGTAAAGTAGGTCTAAAAGTTGCAATTTTAGGCCTATTTCATTTGAGCTATTTCCGGGTCGAATTTGTTGATAAAATTTGGTGAGCATGTTCCCATGTAATGTAGATATGTTCACCAAATGTTAGATTGAAATTAAATCGGGAAGTTAGTTAAATAAATTTTTAAAAAATGCATAATTTTTTCGGCCTAAAAATGCAGCTTTTTTCAATAAATTATTTAACTAACTTCTGATTTAATTTTAATCTGAAATTCAGTGGACATAACCTACACTTTAGGATGAACACGATCACCAAATTTTATAAAAAAAACTTGACTCGGAAGCCCCTCAAATTTCATAAAAATGTCTCATTCCTGTCACAACGTCCTGACCGGAACCCCCGTGCGGACAACACCATCAGAGGGTCTTCCGGGTGAAATTTTTCGAGAAATATTCGGTTCACCTATGGCGTCCTTAGATAATAGCATCATACTAAAATCCGAGATTCAATTAAGTTTTATCAATGGCTCATTGATAGCTGACAACTTTTAGAACACGTTTACTTCACGGGTTACTAAACGGTGTTTATTAAAACTCGCATTAATAAGCGGCGCATAATTAAGCAGTGTTGTAATAAGAACATGTTTACTTCAAAAAATTTTAAAACACCCCTTTAACATTAAAATGTCCAAAATAACTCTATACATATATAGACACATAAACATTCATGAACACAAGTACATAATATAATATGTGGATGTACCCTAACCCCTACCCCACCCTACCCTTCCGCCACAACCTTAACCCCTACCTCTTCCTTACCCCTACTCTAACCACGACCTTATCCTCTGCCCCTATTCCCCTCGTAACCCCTACCTGTTAGGGGTGGGGTCGGGGTCGAGGCAGGGGCATGTGGTATGGGGTAAAGGGGTAGGGTAAGGGGGGTTGGTTAGGGGTGGTAAGGGCTAAGGGGTTAAGGTAGGTGGAGGGATGGGGTCCAGGTAGGGGCAGGTGGATGGTGGGGTAAAAGAGTGGGGTCGGAGTAGGGAAGAGGTATGGGGTGGGGTGGAGGTGGGGTAAGTAGGGTAGGATGGGTAGGGGTCGGGTGGGATCGAGTTAGAGGAAGGTAGTAGGGGGTAAAGGGGTAGGGGGTAGGTAAGGGGCTGGGGCAGAATGGGTTGGGGGTAGGTTGGGGGATGGGGTCAGGGTGGAGTAGTGATGGACCCGGGCCGGGCCGGTTCCGGTTCAGGCCTGGGCTCGGCCGAGCTTTTTTTTGGGGAAGGGAGAACCGACCCGGGTAGGCAGCGGTTCCGGGCCGGTTCCGGCATTTATTTATTGTTAGAAAATCTTTATAGTCATCAACAAAATCAACTCGGAAGCACCTCAAATTTCATAAAAATGTCCTATTCCTGTCACGACGTCCTGACCGGAACCCCCGTGCAGACAACACCACCAGAGGGTTTTCCCAGTGGAATTTTTTGATGAAATGTTTTTGAGCATGTTCCTCATCAAGTCTAGTCTATTCATACAAAATTTCAGCTCAAAATTCAATCGGGAAGATAGTTAAAAGAAATTCTTGAAACATACTGCGTTTTATATATGTACAAAATGTGCTCTAAGAGAAGAGCCGCCACTTGAAGTGGCGGCTTTTGTACTGTAAGTGAAGAGCCGCCACTTAAAGTGGCGGCTTTTGTACTGTAAGAGAAGAGCCGCCACTTCAAGTGGCGGCTTTTCTAGCAGTATTTTGGGAATTATTTTTAACCCAACAGTATTTTGGGAATTATTTATTTAATTAACATTATTTCGAGAAAAAACTCTCTAAATTATACTTCTTCCGTCCCAAAATTAAAATCCCAGTTTGACTTTACGTTTCCTAATTAAGCGGGCATTCGACCATAATTATCTATACATATATGCATATACAGTATAATCTATAATAAATTAACATTTGAATAATGCATATTACAATAAGCAAATAATAAAATTAATTTTGTGTGCGTGATAAAATATTGTTAACTTTAAGTAATTAATTAATGATCAATGTTTAATTAACAAGTTTGACTCAAAATTTGAACTGGACTAATTGAGGGACGAGGTATTATTATCTAATTATATCTAGAAATCAAACAGACATGCAATGTGAGATTAAGAGCCCGTTTGGTAGCACCAAAATCGGCTGTTTTGGCTGATTCTGCTGAAATTTATGATATTCTGGCTGGAGCGGCTGTTTTGGCTGATTCTGCTGATTTAAGAAAAAAATATTTTAAAAATATATTTTATTGATAAATTAAAGAAAAAATTATATGTAAAAATAGCTAAAATGGTCCTCTACAGTAACTTCAGCCAATACAGTCAGAAAAGTAACTCCAACCTTACTTTTTCGGCTTATTACACAATTCAGCGCGCGAAAGTAAAAGTTACGTGTTTGGTGAAAAAGCTGGCTGATAAGCCTGATAAGCCGAAAACAGAGTTGTCCAAACGGGCTCTAACTGTAAAATACGTACAGTTACGTAGAGCCCAATTAATTTTAAGAAGATAAACAAATTAAATCCATGAATAAAATAAATTAACTGCATTGAATACCTGCAGGCTTATGTTGGATAGTGGTCTGTTCACTCATCATGGTAATGGATCGAAGATATATAATATATATGTACTGCGATCGATCGATGGTATGTAGAAGTACCCTATCGTTGGCTCGTTTACTTCACTACTGCATCCATCCTCGAAGTTTCTATATATAAGGAAGTATTGTGGGCTCCACCTATTATTCATTTATTTACATATTTGTTTAATCATTTTACACCGGTGATAATTACTACGTAGTATATACTTAAAAATATTGGTCGTACTACCTTTAATATAATCCACTATTTTAATTTTACTTCACTAATGTTTAAAGAAAAAGTTAAAACCCTTTGGTAACACTAAAATTGGCTAAATCCGCTAAATTGATGAAATTGTGACCGAATTGACTGAATTGACTGAATCTATTGAATTATGAAAATCTAAAATATATTTTATTAATAAAAAAAGAATTATATAAAAACACCTAAAACGATTCTCTATAGTGATTTCAGCTATTTCAGCCAGAAAAACGATTTCAACCGTACTTATTTTGATTATCACGCAATTCAACACGCGAAATAAAAAATTACATATATTAAGAAAAATATTAACTTATAAAGTTCATAATAAGCTGAAGATTAGGATTACCAAAAAGCTCCAATGAGAGAAAATACATCAACTATTGAGACTTTGTCAAACATGCATGAATACGATGACATAAGAGCTTATGTCCGTGAAAGGGTGAAGGGAATAAAATAAAGTCTAGTGAAAAACAGAATCCAAGAGACTTTAATTTTGTTGATCACAATTCTTTTGTTCAATTTAGACCTTACATTACGGGACTTTTAAAATACACCAGACTTTTCAATCTGGTTACTAGGGGTGAGTTTGTATTTTTTGTTCGATTTTACCAAAAACCAAGTACAAAATCAAAGTGGAACGTTCAGTTTGATTTTATATTTCAAAATTTGAAACCATCATTTGATTGGTTTGGTTTATTTTGATTCGGCTTCAATTTTAATTTTTAAGTTTCTTTACTAAAAATTGTCATTTGATCTAACATAATACAATAGTTGGAAGATCAACATATTACAAAAAATAATGGAAGCATACTAGAACAATTAAAATAAAATGAAATAAATAAAACAAGAAAATAAATATGTTTTTAATTATATGAGTATGCGGGAGAGATAATACATTTTTCCAATTTTGTGGAACAAAAGTGTTTATATTTTTAATTTATATTTTTTGTACGTGATTAGTTTGAAAATATTTTTTGAATATATATGTTTTATGTGATACAGTTGAGATGAATATTTATTTGTTTTATGAATTTTAAATTACATGAAATAAAAGTTACTAGTAATAA